GCTTGTCCAAATTTATCCTGAAAATATGAATCTGTCAGCACGAGCAGATTTTGAGATATGAGTTTTTTGATATCTTCACCCCTATTTTGATACCCTTTGACGGTCCATCGGGATCTGATGTTAGGGTGAAAAAATAGCAAACGCTTGTCCAAATTTATCCTGAAAATATGAATCTGTCAGCACGAGCAGATTTTGAGATATGATTTTTTTGATAGCTTCACCCCTATTTTGACACCCTCTGACGGTCTATCGGGATCTGATGTTAGGGTGAAAAAATAGCAAATGCTTGTCCAAATTTGTCCTGGAAATATGAATCTGTCAGCACGAGCAGATTTTCAGGTATGATTTTTTTGATATCCCCACCCCTATTTTGACACCTTCTGACTGCCCATCGGGATCTGATGTTAGGGTGAACAAATAGCAAATGCTTGTCCAAATTTATCCTGAAAATATGAATCTGTCAGCACGAGCAGATTTTGAGATATGATTTTTCTGATATCTTCACCCCTATTTTGACACCCTCTGACGGTCTATTGGGATCTGATGTTAGGGTGAAAAAATAGCAAATGCTTATCCAAATTTATCCTGAAAATATGAATCTGTCAGCACGAGCAGATTTTGAGATATGATTTTTTTGATATCTTCACCCCTATTTTGACACCCTCTGACGGTCTATCGGGATCTGATGTTAGGGTGAAAAAATAGCAAATGCTTATCCAAATTTATCCTGAAAATATGAATCTGTCAGCACTAGCAGATTTTGAGATATAATTTTTTTGATATCTTCACCCCTATTTTGACACCCTCTGACGGTCTATCGGGATCTGATGTTATGGTGAAAAAATAGCAAATGCTTATCCAAATTTATCCTGAAAATATGAATTTGTCAGCACGAGCAGATTTTGAGATATAATTTTTTTCATATCCTCACCCCTATTTTGACACTTTCTGACGGCCCATCGGGATTTGGTGTTAGGATGGAAAAATAGAAAATGCTTGTCATAATTTGTCCTGGAAATATGAATCTGTCAGCACGAGCAGATTTTGAGATATGATTTTTTCGAAATCTTCACCCCTATTTTGACACCCTCTGACGGCCCATCGGGATCTGATGTTAGGGTGAAAAAATAGCAAATGCTTGTCGTAATTTGTCCTGAAAATATGAATCTGTCAGCACGAGCAGATTTTCAGGTATGATTTTTTTGATATCCCCACCCCTATTTTGACACCCTCTGACTGCCCATCGGGATCTGATGTTAGGGTGAACAAATAGCAAATGCTTGTCCAAATTTATCCTGAAAATATGAATCTGTCAGCACGAGCAGATTTTGAGATATGATTTTTTTGATACCTTCACCCCTATTTTGACACCCTCTGACGGTCTATCGGGATCTGATGTTAGGGTGAAAAAATAGCAAATGCTTGTCCAAATTTGTCCTGGAAATATGAATCTGTCAGCACGAGCAGATTTTGAGATATGATTTTTTTGATATCTTCACCCCTATTTTCACACCCTCTGACGGCCCATCGGGATTGGGTGTAAGGATGGAAAAATAGAAAATGCTTGTCGTAATTTGTCCTGGAAATATGAATCTGTCAGCACGAGCAGATTTTCAGGTATGATTTTTTTGATATCCCCACCCCTATTTTGACACCCCCTGGCGCCCCATCGGGATCTGATGTTAGGGTGAACAAATAGCAAATGCTTGTCCAAATTTATCCTGAAAATATGAATCTGTCAGCACGAGCAGATTTTGAGATATATTTTTTTTGATATCTTCACCCTTATTTTGACACCCTCTGACGGCCCATCTGGATTTGGTGTTAGGATGGAAAAGTAGCAAATGCTTGTCATGACTTGTCCTGAAAATATGAATCAGTCAGTACGAGCAGATTTTCAGATATGATTTTTTTGATATTTTCACCCCTATTTTGACACATTCTGACGGTCGGGATCTGGTGTTAGGATGAAAAGATAGCAAATGCTTGTCGTAATTTGTCCTGGAAATATGAATCTGTCAGCACGAGCAGATTTTGAAATATGTTTCTTTTTATATCTTCAACTCTATATATTTTGAGACCATCTGACGGCCTATTGGAATCTGGTGTTAGGGTGAAAAAGAGCAAATGCTTGTCACAATTTGTCCCGAAAATATGAATTTGTCAGTACAAGCAGATTTTAGAATATTATTTTCCTATATTTCCGACGCCACTGGCCGTTCGGCAGTTTCCGGAAGTTTTGGAGGCTATCTTAAGAGGCTAATTTCACACCGGTTAATTAATCAAATTATTAATGTCTACGAAATAATAGATTCAATACTATAGGATGTAGAAAACTCTAACAATAAAATAACTTATTTGGTCCACATACCTATAATGTACCCTGAATCTCTCGATTATTTCTACCTATATTCAATACCAATCAAAAGTCAGAGTCAGTTTAAGGTAGTCTTTCCACAATATCAATATCTTTTAAAAAACGGACAGCACTACGCACATTATGGGCATGGCCAAGAATGCCAGGAAATCCTTCCTGAATTTCACCTATGCGAAAAAGAAGACCTACAGCAGCCCATGTGAAATAATCCTACTGAGCTCTGAAAAAGACACTTCTACTTGCAAGCCAACCGAAGTCAAAATCACACAACCAATAATCAATCGATTGGACAAATCCAATCAATTGGTATTCGTCCTTCCGGCTAAAATACCTATCGAACGCTTTGGACAAGAAGAAATCAGAAACGTTATTGGAACCTTTCTAACCATATACCAATCAGTTGCCAAATAACTATCTCTTCGAGACTGATAGTCAACGGAAGGTAGCTTCTGAAATCCGATGCCCAACCTATACCACTTCCCGACCTTCCAAATGTTCCTGAATTAATGCATTCCCTAAATTTAGGCACACACTTGAAAAACATAAAATTAGACAATCTCCACCAACTAGCTAACGAGATCGTAGGCAACCGTTGGACATTTAGTGAAATCAGAAGACTACCCAGTTTGGGAACCATTCTGATTTATGCTATGATCCTTGAAGGGTGTGCTGTTCTCGCCTATAAGAAACTAGTACCGAAGTTCAAGAACCGAAGAAGGGACAACATCCTTGAAGAAGAAGCCCAACAGCCCAACCAATCCAACTTCCCCGCCTAGCATGAAGTTGCATCCTAAGAAAAGAGGAGTAATTTCAGCCCTATTTGCTGACCATACACATTAATCTGCTTAATTCGCTTAGAATAGTTTGTTGTTTTTTTTTTTTTGAAACGACTTTATTAACAATTCGAAATATAACCGAATTATAATTATATTTCCTATTTTTAACCTTTGTAACGCGTAACGCGAAAGTTCTTTATTGTAAATTAGTGAATAAATTGTTTTTTAAGAACTCGTTATCGGCTTACGGATTCATAACTCCTGTTTTAAAATTAATAAAAGTTCTGTGGGAGCAAAATATTAAAAAAAAAAAACAGAAACAAAAATCTTATTAATTTTATTGTTAAAGTAGTCATATAGGTAACCCAATTGAAGAACAGCGTGGATGGAAGAATTCAGACAAATGTCTGTCTTTGCAAATTCGCCCATCCAAGCTGGTATTCAAATTGATACGCGAAAATCAAGTTTGGCATAAATCCGGAATAATTTATTATTAAGAGTACCTAACCTACTTGTCAGAGATCAGAAACATCGTTTCTTGTTTTTTTTTTAGAATATATAAATTGCAAAGTTTATATTAAAAAAAAAATGTTTCACTCCTTCAGTTTGATGTAATTAAATTGTTCTTAGAAGCGCTTTACATATAATTATTTTCCCAGGCCTGTTCATCGCTTGATTAATTACTATTAATTACTAGTTATGGACATTTTCTTCTTTTTCCTTTCTGATGTAATTTTTCTTTTTAATTTGTGTTTTTTGAATTATCTTAATCACGTTTGAAATCAAATGCATAGTTTTCTGAATATTGTTTGATGTTAATGGAATGTTGAAAAGCGCTGATAATCTTCTATAACATAATTTAATTTGTTGAAAATGTCCAGTGAAGAAAACGAAATGCTATAACTTGGAAATCGTTCCCTTTGAAATTGTAATTGAAATGGTTAAAATCTCAAGAGGGTTAAAATAATGGCGTGAATTTATTTTGCTAAAAACTTCTTTCTAGCTACGTATAATTTAATTTTTCAAAAAAATTATTCCTTTTAGTACAGGTATGCTAACTGACCAGATACTCTTAAAACAAGTAATTAGTTTAATCATTATTCAATGCCATGACAGAGCCTAGTTGAACAAGGTTATCATTTTTTTAATCTTTTCTTATAGTTTGTTGAATAAATCCTGTTTTGATCGTTTTAGTTTAGTTTTGTCTGAGTGAATATAAGGAAAAATTCACAAAAAAATAGCCGAAGAGAAGAAAGGTAAAGACTATATAATTAATTTTTTCTTACTAGAGAATAGATAAATACTTTGAAATATATAATTCTGTGAGAAATCTGTCAAAATGTTGAAATTGCAGTTGGTTTCTTTGTAGAAATAAAAAAGCAGTTACCTGTTCTAAAAAAAAAAACTACAAAAGTAGCAACAAAAAACTCAAACAAACGTCAAAAATTGTCTTATCATCGATATTCATTTTGCTAAAAAACATAGAATTATAACTGAAAAACTTGCTATAAGGTCATGGTCATATAATTATATTTTTTATTATATACAATATTTTTCCATAATGTGTATATTTGTATAATTACATAATTTAACATATTTTGACATTAATATTGATAAAGAATTCATTTGTTTGTATTAGTTTAGCAATATTAGTTGACTTTCTGTAATTTCAAAGTAAGTACATATAATACCATTGACCATATAAAATTTTAGAAATTATTTTTAATAATTCAAATGAAAAAAATTCTTTCAGCCTCTGAAAATACGCCTACTGCAGAAATATTTATAAACATTCGACCTTTTTTAAATTAGACGTCATAAGTCACATTATTAACTATTTTTTTTAGAAACCCAGAGGAAAAAGAGGCACATTAATCGTCATGGCCGTTGGTACTGTCACCGTTTTGGTTATCATCGGAATTGTGATGGGAGTAACTCTGACCAATGGAGATAAGGACCTGAAGATGGTTCACATTGTAAGAAATTTTATTCACTATTAGCTTTAAAAAAAAAATTATTTTGTGTTTATAGGTGATGCGCCATGGCATAAGGACACCAGCAGACACTTATCCAAATGATCCGTACATTAATGAAACTTTTTATCCAACTGGATGGGGACAGTTGACAAATGTAAGTATGAGTTTAACCATAGACGTTTAACATATTTATGTGCAGTGTAAGAGGTAAGGGACCTTGTTGGCATCGTGTTAAAATTCTATATAAGTTTCTCACAGCAAATAAGTGAAGAAAAATTCTATTGAATATCTTTTGTCTCTGGCAAATTTAAGGGGTAATTATCTTTATGAAAGTATAACTTATCGTGACATGGTGTCAAATAACGAATCCATCATAAATAAATATGACAGAACCAACAAATAACGAATCTGCAGTTATTGGTGTACGTCCTCCAAAGCACCTTGTTTTAGACTCTGCAAATATAACCAGAGAATGGAAAAATTAGATACAACAACAGTTCGAATGAAACATGGCTACCATTAGCCTAGATGCTGTAGAAATATTCAATAATTTTGGATTATCTGATGATGAGAAGAAGGATGTCAGCGTCATAAAGGGTAAATTTGAAGAGGATGAAAATTTTGATGAATTTCTTATGAAAATTAAAACTCATGTGAATTTGGCCAACTTTATCATGATAGTCTTCTAAAAGATAAAATTGTTTTTGGAGTAAAATCTGATAAGGTGTGTGACAAATTTCTCACTGAAGAGAGCCTCGATTTAAATAAAGCAGTTACTATTTGCAAACAAGCAACAAAACAAATGAAAGAAATAGATACTACGGAGACGAATCAAGTCTTTGCAGAAGATGCGAAACCAAACATAAGAAAAAAAATTGTCCAGCTTATAAACAAAAATCTGAATATTGTAAGGAAACAGGACATTTTGTTAGCAACTGTTGGTTGAAAAAAAGTCAACACATTAGATGACGATGATTTAGAAGAAGAAACTGGTAAACAATTTTTAAATACAGGAGGAAATAAAATATAATTTACATCTCCCCTTAACAAATTTAAAAAATTAAAGGACGGGTTTGATTATTCTTCCAGACATTTTTTCCGTCTTTGTTCGCAGTAACTTAGGGATGTTCGTCCTATTTGTTCGATCGGAGTTTCTGGTTGACTATTTGAAGTTTCTTCGACTAGTGATTGATTATGCTCCTGATTTTCTGGACTGATAGGAGTCACAACTATTTCGTTATTATTTATGTTGAAATCAGCTTTTGTTTTATGAACTTGACTACTATTCCTTCTTTTTTCTTTGCCGTCCGATGTTCGTAAGAATACTGACCTTTTTGTTTGATCATCAACTTTTGTTATGGTTGCACCTTCCCATTGTCTGTTGGGAAGTTCTCTAACAGTCTAACAGAATCTCCTATTTTATAGTTCTGAGGTTGAGTGGGCATGTCTGTCTGTCTGCATAATCTTTTTCTTTTTCTCTCAATCTTTTCAATTCATTTGTGACATTTTTTACAATATTTGGTTTCAACTTTTTACTGTTTGCTGGAAGTAATGTCCTGGTAATTCTGCTAAAAAGTCTGCGATTAGGTGTACCCAGTGACGGGTTTCTAGGTGTATTTCTGTAGTTGATTTGTCATCTGTACATATTTTTAACAGATTTTTCGCAATTTGAACACCTCTTTCCGATAAACCATTGCTTCTTGGATGATATGTACTACTGGTTGCATGCCGAAAACACCATTTTTTGGAAAAATCTTTAAATTCTATAGAAGCAGTATATTGCGGTCTATTATCAGTTTCTAGTTTTTCAGGAATTCCGTGAACTGCAAACCATTCTTTGAGATAGCCGAATACTTCCAAGGATAACTGATTTCTGAGTTTTTTTACGTCCAAAAACCCATAGTAACTATCGTAAATATAGTAATATAAACATTTCCACGCACACTTAACAAATCAGGGCCGACTATTTGCCATGTCTGATTAGCTCTTTCACATTTTTCACAAACTCTGCATTTTTGAATATATTTAAGAATATCTTGTGATATTCCTCTCCAGTAAAGTAGTTCTCTTGCTCGTTTAAGACAACTTTGGATACCAAAATAGCCTTCATGTACTTATATTTCTTAACATTTTAGGTACTTGAGATCTTGGAACGATTATTTTTTCGCCCTTGACTACAGAGAGGTTATTCTAAGGATTTTTTTCCACTGCACATAAAGGAAATAAATTTAATAAATCACCGTATGTATTACTATAGGATTTTTACGCTATATTTAGGATAACGTCACATTTAGTAAATTTCTGCTGCCAACCTAACAAAACTGAAAGTACTTTTTAGCGGATTTAAAGTTGGGGAATTTCAGATGTTTTTGGTTGGCAACGGCGCGCGACGTTGCATGACTTTGTATAAACATTTCCTTTTCGTAATTTTTAGCTGTTGTCAGAATTATTACCACAAGACATTCTGGTAAATTATAAGAAAAAAAAACTAGGCATTGATAAGGTTGTCAGTCCTTGCTCGATGACGTCATCCTAAATATAACATAGGAAACCTATAACACACATCACATAATCAGGCCTATGATGTATCATTTTCTGTTATTTTAACAGCAGCGTTAAGTTATCTGTCAGTGTTTATTCTATACGTCAAAATAGAGACGGAAATAGATGCTGAGCATTAACAGAGCCGTTAAAATAACAGGACAGGATCATGGGCGTCGTTACGAGGTTTCACAGGGGGGGCAGTATTATAACAAGACCATTTCCATTAGCGCCGCAGGCAACCGCCGTAGGCTAATTTTTTTCGGTGCCACGCCCCTTTTTGAGCATTTTAACGTACTTATTTGATATCGATATTTGTTAAAAATGATGGTATTTTTTTCCGCAACAAATTCACTGTCCGCATCATTTGTTAAGGTAATTTTCCAATGGCCAGTATTATAAAGCACTGAATCGATGATTGAGTTTCAACCTTCGGTTGACTCCATGCAAATTGATGGGATTCAACCGAAGGTTGGAACTTGAAACTCTACCATCGGTTCAGTGTTTTATAATACCGGCCCTAAGTCAAGTGAAATTCAATTCCGTTGAATATAATGAAAATGTCAGCCAATTTTTCAAAGTACAGTAGACTCGCGCTAGTGTGAACACAAAAAAACCGGACGTGTTCATATTATCGAGACGTTCACACCATCGCAGGTCTACCTAAAAATGCAAAATATTGTCAGCAATGGCCTCTAAACTTAAAATTCAAGAAAAATTAATACCATAGGTACTTGCAAACCTATCTATTAAGTAAATTTTCCCAGTTTATTGATTAAAGTGAGATGTAATTTTTGTCTAAATGGTTCTACCTGAGCATTGGATGGCTACCTACTTTAACCTAAAGTTTCTTAGGCTTTCTGTGTCATTAGCGCGAATATATGCTATTGTCTTGCTGGCAATCTTCTAGAATTTTTGACTTCCCATATAAGGTCTGTTCTCACAGAAGTCCCTGACAGTTTGCAAACTGTCAGTAACAATCGCTCAGCTAAGTTACTGAGTTATCTTGGAATGACGGCATTGAAAACATGCATGGGCGATGCATTCTGACAGTTTGCAACTGTCAGCGACTCTTGTGAGAACAGACCCATAGAGAGTTGAAAAAATTGTGTTTTTCGCCATTTGTACAAAACTGAATAACCACAACAAACAACGAACTGAAGATTTTTATAATTTTGAACGTGCTCTTGACGCGCTGCCACTTGCGTATTCCACATTAGAGTGAATGCAGTAACTCAACATATCTGTGCGTTCCTTGTCTCAAAACCTTCGGGGAACTCCATAATTGGATAGAAACAATCGATGAAAACAACAAGTAGGCCGAAAACGGTTAAATTCGTAGTCAAATACCTTGTTCATAATACCGATATTCTCAAAAGTTCACACTACAGAATATGTATAATGTATTCATTCTGGCTGTTCATACTACTGGGAGGTTCACAGAAGCGTGTGTTCACACTAGCACGAGTCTACGACTAGTCTACTGTACCTAAAAAAATTTGAAAAAATGGAGAAAAGCAATACGAATAGGAACTCTTTTTCACTGCTTTCTTGTTCAAAAGACTATTTCTAGGGGGGGCCCTTGCCCCCCCCCCCCCCCAAGGACGCCCATGGACAGGATACATTATTGGCCTGAATCAGAGCTGGGCAGGGCTTGAGTGCTTTGTGCTTGCGAAAGTGCTTGAAGCACTTTGAGGACTTGAAAGCCCTGTGCTTCAAACCCTTTTATAGATTTGTAATTGGGGCTTGCAAAGTCAATTACTTTAGAAAAGTGCTTGGTAATTTGTAATTGAAAAAAGTAATTCCAGCCCTCTCAATGAGCTTCAATTTCTTTTAGAGGGTTTGAAGCACTTTTGGGAGCTTGAAGCACTTTGAAAGGGCTTGAAGCACTTCAAAAGGGCTTGAAGCACTTTGAAAGGAATTTGAATTGGCCATCATTCAACCTATCCCCCACTTAAAAATTTTCGGTCGTGTTTTGTCCCTTAATTTTTTTTTTCTATTATTTGAACTTGAACCGCCTTATGTCTTTTCTCTCTTAACAATGGAGGTTTTGGGTTTGAGCTTAAAATGGAATTTAAAAAAAAAAATGAAGGAACTTATTATTCAAATAAATAATTAATTTATATTGGTACCCTATTTAACTTTATCACTGGATTTTTTTCACTTTTCCCCATTGAACATTTTGAAAACCTTAAAATTGAATTACCATGTAGTATCCCAACTATCCCAAGTACCCAAGAACTACATCTCAAAAAAAAAACATACTACTGCTTCTCTGTGCAATGTAAAGTTCGTCTCTACTATACCAATTCTGTGTGATGAGTGTACGCGGTAGCTTATGCCACTTTGAGAATTTTATTACAAATTCAAAGTGCTTTGGCACATTTAAAGAGCTTCAAGCACATTTAAAAAGCTTGAAGCACATTTAAAGAGCTTGAATCCCCTTTTCAAGGCACCCCAAGCACTTTTGATGTGTTTCAAGCATTTTTCAAATCACTTTGAGGGCTTTGTGCTTGTGAAGCACTTTTGAAAATAAAAAGAATTTGTGCTTGAAATTGAAGCACTTTGATAGAGGGCTTAGGGCTTAGTGCTTCAAGCCCTTTTACTGAGGGCTTTGCCCAGCTCTGGCCATGCATGTGCAACTCTTATGGCGCAATTTGTTCCGCTAAAAGCTTGCGACTACAGACGGCAGAGGTGCTGTCGTCCAATGCTGTTGTCAGAATTATACATAAAAAGTCCAGATTATTCTTTATTTGTTTTAAAAAGCTTTCAACAATAGGAAAAAATAGTCGTGTACCTCGCTAACATATAATTGCTAGTAGTACGATTTGAAATTACATTTCTTTTTCAAAACAAATATCCCATGGTTTTGACATGTGGCAGCGTCGCTTCACTTTTACTTTTTCATTATATTTTGACAAATTTTGACATATTCCATTTTTATTCAATAATTTGAATCAGAGATTGAAAATTTTCTCCGTTCAAAGCAAAATGGTTTTATCTTGTTGTGTGGCAATGTGTGAAAACCGAGGGAACAGAGTAAAAATTCATCGAATTCCGAAAAATGATGAACAGGTATGTTTCAATCCCTACATTATACCGAAATCGGGATTTTACCTTCTGTAATTTTACCACTGTAAATTTCTTTCTGTTTAGGTGTTCATTTTATGTCTGCAAAACGTTTACAATCAAAAAATCTTGCTCATTGTAGGTACCTATTATTGACTGTATTGATATCATACTGTAGTTAATAAAGTAATTCAAAATTGTTATTTTTGTATTTAATACATGGATTAATTAGCATGTAACTCTTCGGTTTGTGATCAAGATACTGTTTATCATAATTTTATTTCCACTAGAAACATATTAAATTGTTCAGTGCTAGTGGCAATAAAAAATGATAAACGGATCCTAAAGAAAAAAAAAATAAATTTAAAAAGGAGCGCTTCCCGCGCTCTCAAGTTGCTGACTACACACGCGAGAGGGCGCTGTAATCATGAACAAAATGTTTGTATTGAGTTGCCTATCTATATTATAGGTTCGAGAGAGTTTTGCATCCCTTATCTATGGCTCTGGCCTGAATATATGTTTTCTGCGATTGACAACAAATGTCATCATTTTTGACCGTTTGACAGGTCGCAAAACTCGAAATTCTAGTATTAGGGCCATATTCTCCGTAGTTCATAAAGCCTGGGCTTAGTGGAAACGCTTGGCTTTTTGTGTGACAAAGCCGAGCTTTTCCACTGAGCCAGACTTTATGAACTACGGAGAATATGGCCCTTAGGAATCGATGGATATTGGATAACAGTACAGGAATCATTTTTCCCCTAGGCCGAGAAAGTGTTTATTAAGGAATGAATGGATAACAGTACGGGAAACACTTTTCTGGCCTAGGCCGGCAAAGTGTGCTAATCCAGCAACGTCACAAAAGCATTCCTCTTTTTTTTTATTCCTGAGCGATAGCAGAAAAAATAGTATGTGTATTCCAGAGAAAAAAGGACATACTCGGCCTTTGGTGTTTGCCGGCCTCGGCTTCGCCTTTCACCGTCGGCCGAGAATGTGTCACTTTTCCACCTAAATACACAATATACTATTTTCTATTTTGGTTTCATAATAACTCATGAAACGCGTCTGACACTACGTTATTTGGAGTGTTATAAAAGCAGTGCCACGCCCTTTTTAACATTTTCCACAATATGTCTTATCTGTCAGAGTAGGATCCTCGACAAGCCACTATGGTTTGGTTAAATGAGCGTCAGCACAGTCAAAGAAACAGCACAGGCCAAACAGCAAAGATATTTTTGCTGAGGCCAATGCGGATGAGGTAATCGGAGAATTTTAGGTAAATAGTACTGGGGGAAAATTAGCAATACATTTTAGAATAAATGTAATGTATTGATAGTGCTATTGTATTCTCATATGTAGCATATTATGTCAACTAAATTATTTGTTCGTTACATGAAAAAATAACTACACAGATTTTAATTTTCCACTGCACACTTTACTTTTTCTACTGCACATTTTGTGTCCAACTGCACCTTAGAATAACCTCTGCTTGACTATGAGTTCGTTATAAACTGCATGTTCGTCTCTGAAAGTTACGTAGTGCTTAATATTTTTGGGTACATCGTCTGAATTTGGAAATCCGTTTAATATGAACTTTCGTAGTAATTGCAGCTCAGGATCCAATTTTGTAGCTTCTATTAATTCTTCCTTGGCATTCTCGGTCATAGAAAGGACAATTTGTATTTCTAATTCTTCCTCGTTTTCTAGATTTTCTTCAGTTTCTTCACAATCCCTACTTAAAATAAAATGCTGCTAAAGGTATATCTTTACCTTTCTTGTATATTATTTTGGGCTAATACTGATGTGATACTTCCAATAATATTCGTTGTAGCCTAGGTGGCGCAAAGTGAATGGGTTTTTTGGAAATAGCTTGTAATGGCTTATGGTCTGTTTCTACTGTGAGTTTCTTGCCATATACAGAGTGTCCCACAGGAAACCAATTCGATCTATATATGAAACACTGTATGCAGAAATTTTTTGAAAAATTGACAGTCTACTTATGTACGGGAGCAACCCGACAAAAATATTTTCAAGATGGTGGCTCTTCCGGTTATACCGGAAGTAGACGTCAACTTACTTATTTCAAATGAAACACTCTGTATGTAATTGCATATTTAGATTTTACGCAAAATTCTGAGCAGATTTCATATGATATACCCTATTCCTAAGTTCAACTGTGAGCTCAGACATATTTGGTATGAATTTATTCAAATATGTTATCATGCCTAGCAACCTTTGTAGGTAGTTCTGTTGGTGTCTTTGAGTTTTCGATAGCTTCTACCTTGGTATCATAAATTTCAATGTCATTTTCCGATGAAATATGCCCGAGAAACTCAACTCTTTTAATGAAAATGCATTTTTCCTTATTAAGTTTCAATCCAGAATTTTCCAATGTTTCCTTTACTTTTTTAGTAATTTTTTTCTACACCTTCCTGGGAGACGGAATAAATAAGAATATCGTCCATTGAGCAGTGAGTGTTTGGAATGTTTTTTAATAAAGAACTCATTATTTCTTGAAATACCTCTGGTGCTGAACATAATCCAAATGGTAGACGAGTGCAACTGTTACGCCTCCATGGTGTTGAAAATGTGAGATATTTTTGAGACTGCTCTGCAACTTTTATAAAAGTGATTTATTTTTCATACTGTTATGGTTTTATATCAGTCGCTATCTTTTTTGGTATTGAGCGAATGAACAATAAGCACTGCATTTATTGCATACGCTTCCTAATTACCATTCCTGAGGGATTTCTTAGCTTGTTGAATTGAAGAAGAACGTTTCACAGTAATTTTCTAGCATTCATACCAAAAATTAACTCAAAGGCAAGCCCTTGTTCTGCTAACGCAAATCTGCAAGAAAGTTTGTGGATGATGGGGTAAAATGTGATCGTCTACTAGGATCTCTCCAAAAACTGTATACCTAGTATCTGTTGGGGGTCGTTGAAGGGCAGCAGAAGGTTACGCGGGTTGGTATTTTTTCTTTGTTTTCTTTACACAAACCTAAGGCAGTTGTGGAGGCGATTCCTTATCCAAAGGTGTCAGACAGTGTCTGGTTATGAGTTCCACCACAGTCGCGGCGATTTTCCTGTGACAGAGACATCGATGTCAAAGTGGTTACGCATTTTGATGGTTTCCACTAGGAACAAATCGCTTTTTAATTACTTGCTGTATGATATGCATTCCCAATTCGTTTCACGCGAATTACGGTAATTGGTCGCGTTGTTCTTATATCCCCGAATTACCAACCGGTCAATTCAATAAGTATCAACGATATCAATCGTTGACGCCGATGGTTCATCTGATAGGTATTAGTATTATTGATTATAGCTACCAGAGAGGTGGCGATAGTTTTTGACGTTTAGCGAATAACGATTCGCGCATCTATGAGATTAATTTCCAACAGGTTGCAAAGAAAGTTTTAAAATTGCTCCATCAAAAAGTATCATTCTAATATTAATAGAGATGTTAGTGTATTGTTTCACACAAAATCACTGTATTTCTAGGAAGGAAAAATCCAGCTTTACGAGGTAGGCAAATTCCTCAGAGAGCGTTATCACAAATTCCTTGGCGATCACTATTGGCCCGATGAGTTCTTCACTCAATCTACCGACGTAGATAGAACGAAAGCCAGTATGCAACTGATAAATTCTGGACTCTGGCCACCAAAATCTATACAAGTTTGGGGTCCGCTTAATTGGCAGCCTGTCCCAGTGCATGCGGAGCCTTTGAGCCAAGACAGTGTAAGCATAAGTACAAGTTATTTTAAACATTACTTAAAATCCAAAACCAATTTGTTTTAGCTGCTTTTGGTGAGATTACCTTGTGCCAACTATCACAAAGAGAGAAGCAAGGTTTTAGCAACAGAAGAAATCCAAAATAAACTCAAAGAATATCAAGATTTGTTCGAGGGCTTGACAAAACATACAGGACGTACTGTAAAAGATTTTGATGACGTTCAAGATGTTTTCAGTACTTTGAAGGCTGAGGTACTTGAACCTAATTTTAATGCATATATAAACACTTTTTTTTCAGCAAGGTTTTAACTTAACTTTGCCAGCATGGACCAAAGAATACTACCCAGATAAAATGTACGAACCAGTTGTGTTCAGTTTTATCCTTAATGCCTATAATGATGAAATGAATCGACTTAAAGGAGGTAGAAATAAGTAACTGGAGCTGTGAAATCAAATATTCAATTTTGTTAATTTCTATAGGCGTTCTTCTAAAAAAAATCCTCAACGATTGGCAATCGAAAATTAACGGAACCATCTCACCAAAAACAAGAAAAGCCTTTTTATATGGTGGTCATGATTCCACCATAGTGAACTTTATGAGGAGTTTGAAAGTATGGGATCCACAGTTGCCAGATTATGCCATTACCATTTTGCTGGAGCTTTCCCAAGATCAAGCTGGAACTTATGGAGTAGAGGTAATTATCCTCACAATCATTTTCATTTTAGTTGTATAAGCAGTGCATGTTTCTTTAGGTGTTTCTAAGAAATTCTACTGCAGTACCTCCATTCAAGCTGACTATTCCAGGATGTGACAGTTTCTGTCCTCTGACTAAACTCACCGAGCTTACCAAAAGTGTTATTCCAACCGACTGGGAAGCTGAATGCGGTAACGATGGTGATTACGTTGTACCTGAGCCTGGTGGCCCATAGATCATTCGTGTTTTTTTTTGTGTGATCTATGACCATTTTCAAGATTTTATTTTTGTATATTTGTCTTTTTGAATAAAAAATTGATAAAATCCTAGTTGGGTTTAGCTTTTATTTATATAATCGTATCCAGAGATTGGAAAATGGACAAAAGCCTACCCTAAAAAAGAGAATTGGTGCAAACCATCCAAGGATGATAACACACTACTACTACAAGATGGCCTATCCTCATAAGGTCTGTGTGTAACAAATCCCCCCTTACCCTCCCAAGCCAAACAACCAGTTGTGACGTAAGCAGCATGGCGTTTCTCGCCTTGACGTAGGCTGTTTAAACAGCGGACGACTTAGTTATGACGTCGACAATGGTTGAAAACAGTTGAAAACCAATATGGCGGCGATTACCAAAAACGAGGCCGATAAGCACTCCTTAGAGAGTGTTTTCTCCTTGCAAACCATCATCCTAGATCCTAGCGCCAGCGGCTTCAAAACTAATTTATTCGGGCTCTTATTTCATCACTGTTTTCTTCTGTTCTAGAAGAGTTTTTGGACCATCCTCAAACTGCGAAGAAGCTAATGATCAGAGAACATTGATATTTTTTTTTTCTATCAGGCTCTTGAATTTTCTTGATTTCGACAAATTCAAGAGCCGAGAAATAACAAAATAAATGGGAGTGAACCCTACGCCTACCGGTAGGTCCTTTGTTATCCAACGGTCGTACGCCTACCAGTAGGACCTTTTTCATCAACCCATTGTGCGCCTACTGGTATTGTTTGCCCAGCGGATCTGAGTCTACGGCAGGAATTCGGATGTAAATGCGCCATATTGCCACGTTTAATTATAAAAAAGTGAAAATTCTAGACATGAAGTATAGTTCATTTGAAAATCCATTTTTTAATAACAAAATATTGATAACAATAATAAAACGCTAAATATTTTAACGTGGTTTTTAGATCTATTCTTATTTCTCCTGATTTCTTCAATTTGATCTGTTGTAAAAAATAAACATTTTCTGAATATACCATCCGCTTTTGACAATTTGGCAAGCATCCGGCCTGGATGAACCTGATTAGTGGAGTTTTTGGCAGGATCGCCGTTGGCATGGGAAACCATACGATTGTCAATGAGCCAACGTCACCTTATGTCTCGCTATTGGCCAGGCCTGACGTCATTTTATCCTCCCATCTTGGAATATCAATTTATATTGAAATATCCAGTGGCGGAGGTTTGGTCATTGTCAATTTTCGTGTACGAGTTGCAATACGATAACACTTCCAAAAAGTTCCGCACGCAGCTGGGTATTTTATGAATGAAATCAGCCATTTTTTTTTACAACTGCATTCCCCTCACCGTTGCCCCGTAGACACAGATTCGCTGGGCAGACATTAGGTAGGTCCTTTTTCGTAAATTGATCAAGCGCCTACTGGAGGTGTTTTATTACTTTAGAATCCGTATATTATTCTACCAGTCAGCTCTTGCTAGCTAAATGCGTCAATACAATTTTGTTTGTGTAGTAACCACTTGATATTCCCGCTCAAACTTTTAAATTAAAATTCACGCCGGATGTCAGTGGCGCTCCCTGGCGGAGAGAGCGAGAAAGCGTTGGGGAAGGAAGGGAATATGGGGGAGTGTGGGGTAAGACGTGGTTGCACAGGACAGACCGTCCGCCATTGAATTGTATTTTCCGAAATAAAATTGTTCTAAACGGTTGTACTGCTTTTTCTGAGTTTGAAACCGCTCGTTTAGGCCTTATTACAGTTTCAGAAGTGGGATATGCCCCGGAAAAGTCGCGATTACTTTGGATATTGTGAGTTTTATGGATTAGTTGTGAGCACGCGTTTCATGCACACTGATTTTTGTGGAATTTTGTGAAAATATGGCCCACGGCGAAGGAGATATGAATCCCATAGTTCGGTCCGATATCAACGTGAGTGATTTTGAATATTTTTATGAGGCGCAATCACGTCAACCACAAGTTAACCAGCAAAATATGGGTGAAGATGGAGATCAACAGCAACCAGGGGCCAGGGCACAATTCAGCTCATTTTTCAGGTATTTCCAAAAATCATGCTCCTGAAACGACTGAATTTAATCGGGCTACAGCCCCGAATATTGATATTAACGCCCTAATTTTGTCGATGAATAATTTAATGCAACAAAATGCCACGATTATGCAATTGCTGGCCAAGAACTCGATTTCAACAGCCCCAGCCCCAGCCCCTGTTCAGTCATACACAGTTATGCCAGATTTTTCCAAAACAATACCGATATTTAATGGAACAGATTTATTGCAGAGTAAATCATGGATTGAAGGAATCGAAAGTGCAGCTTTGTTGCATAATTGGCCCCCTGAATTTAAGCTACAAACAGCAAAAATTAATTTAATTGGTGCTGCTGCCAGTTGTTATGAGGCACGAAGAAACAATTTAACATCTTGGGACAGTTTTAAAATTGCATTTATTAATACTTTTGTGCATGAGAAGAATATAACAGCTTTGTGGAAGGCCATGACGTCAAGAACACAAGGGCAAAAAGAAGATTTGAGCTTATACTTCCACGATAAAGTTAGGTTATGTGGAGAATTGAGAATGTCTTTTGAGGAGCAAAAAGAACAAATAGCCATTGGTTTGTTTTCACGTGAACTTGCTACAATGATAATAACCAAATCTCATATGGATATTGACGAATTATTTAGAGACTTACTTGCTTATGACCGAATTAGTAATGAAAGAAGGCGAAGATACACCAATGATGACCGAAGGCAAAATATTAGGGCAACAAATAATGTGAATCAGCTTCAGACAACAACAACAACCCATAATAAAGTGCAAAACTCAAGATATTCTGCTGGAAGTCAAGGAGGCATAGTTAAAAGTGTTGTAAGGTGTTTTAATTGCCAAGATGAAGGACATATCTCTACAAATTGCTCCAAACCTAAGAGGGAGAGAGGATCATGTTTTATTTGTGGATACCTTCAACACCAACTAAGGTCCTGCCCGCAAAAAATCAGTAATTTGAAAACCATCAATGGAAAGCATACAGGAAATGATGCTTCAACAAACCTGGTAGAAGTAACTGATGTTGTGCCATCATATCGAGTTGATGCTCAGGTGTTTTTTGGAGACAAACAGAGGAAATTATCACTAATTCTGGATACAGGTAGTGCCATTTCTTTAATAATTTCTTCTTGCGTGCCTGAACATTTAATAGATAAAAACATTTCTCAGAAATCATTTCATGGAATAAACAATTCAAATCTAAGTAGTTTTGGGAACTTTAAAACAAACCTAATTGTAAATAATTTATGTTTGGAAGTAGATTTTTATGTTGTGCCAGAGTATACAATGAAATATGATTGTCTTTTAGGTAGAGACTTTATAGTTAGTAACAATTTAAGTATAACATTTTGCGACAAAGTTATTATCTCACAGAATAACGATTTAAAAATGGAGAATAATATTTTTCTTATAGATATACCACCTGCACGAGATTTTGATCTAGATATTAATCCAAACCTTGAACCGAAGCAAATTTTGAATTTTTTCGAAATATTTGAAAATAATTATGTCAAAGCAACTAGACCTGAGAAACCTGAAATTAAATTTGAAATGACGATTAATATTAAACCCAACCATTCACCTTTCTTCTTTAGAGCTAGACGTTTATCCTTTTATGAAAAGAATGAAGTCAATAGAATAGTTAATGAATTACTTGAGAAAGGTATTATACGCAAAAGTAATTCTGAGTACAGTTCTCCTATGGTGCTAGTATCCAAAAAACCTACAGGTTTAAGAATGTGTGTAGACTATCGTAGGTTGAATGATATTTGTGTGAGGGATAATTGGCCTTTACCTCTGATCGATGATCAAATTGATTTATTGAGAGGTAAAAAGTTTTTCACTCAGCTTGATTTAAAAGATGCTTTTCACCATGTAACCATTAATGAAGATTCGATTAAATATACCAGTTTTGTCATTCATGTCTCTCAATATGAATATCTAAAAATGCCATTCGGATTGAAAAATAGTCCTGCCAACTTTAGTCGATATACTTATTCATTTGATTTTCAGAGATCTTATTGCAAAAAATAAAATGTGTATTTATGCTGATGACATTTGTATTGCAACCAAAACATTTGATGAGAATTTAGCTATTTTAATTGAAATTTTTGATTTATTAACAAGAAATCATTTAGAGTTAAATTTAAAGAAATATTCATTTTTCAAAGATACTATTCAGTTTTTAGGTTATACAATTACGGAGGATTGTATTACACCTGCTAATCATAATATATAACATTGAAGTATTTAAATCATATCCAATTCCTAAAAATTTTAAAGATGTTCAAAGTTTTTTAGGATTAACCTCATATTTTAGACGTTTTATTAAAAATTTTGCTCTTTTGGCCAAACCATTATATGATCTATTGAAAAAAGAATCTATTTTCAAATTTGGAGTGGAAGAATTAAATTCTTTTGAAACTTTAAAGGCATTACTTATTCAATGTTGGATAAACTGATATTCATATCAGTGAAACAAAAATTAATAAATTAAACTTTCATTATTAGTCTATACTTTGCTAATTTATATCGCAGCTATATAGATGACTGAATGTGTTTATAATAGTTTTTATATGTAAGATAAACAGATGAGGAATCGTTTACTTAAGAAAGGGTTTGTCTTGATGTTGAGTCAGTTCGTATAGTTATTTCTACGAGTTCACACGCTCTGCTTTCCACGCTGTGTTCGATATAATAAATATATTGAATATCGATAATTAACAAGTTCTTTTATTTCTTAGTCCATTTCCCAACAGGTTATGGGACCAGTGTACGTGTATTCATTGCGGTTGTGAAAACCGGGAGTGTTTAATCTGATAGTGACGATGGAAAATTTGAAACCAAAAAGAAACAAAAAGGCTTCATGCTAACAGAGCTTGAAGTTAGATAAGAACACCAGAGCTCAGCAATTTAGAAATAATTATCGTTGAGGATATTTTAAAACCGATTTTAAAAGACGCAATTTCAAAAAAAAATCAAGTCTCTGAAACACAATGAAAACAGTTAAACAAAACAATTCCATCAATTAAAAAAAAAAAA